TGAATACTGATTTCAATACTCAAAGATGAAAATATTTTGGCTTTAAGAGAATTTTTTTTATTGATTAAAAGATGCATCTCTTTCTTTTGATATAAGATAGAATATCTAAATAAATTTTTTGACAAATGTTATTATTTTTTGGATTGATAAGTGTTTTTAAAATCAAATCCTAATAAAAATATATTTTAATAAGCTTGAAAATAATTCAATATATTTTTTAACATAAAATATTCAAGGTTATTTTAATTTGTATATATATATATATATATATATATATATATCTATATAAACTCGATTAGAAGTACCATCTAGATAATAATATTATTCTTAAAATGAATTTATGATTAGAAAAAGTTCTTTGTTGTAGATCTCATAGTTAATTTTGATTGCTGAAAAAAATTAAAATAAAAAACTATCAAGTAGAGCTTATGTTTTGCTCTCATTTTTGAAAAAATTACATCCATAGTAAATTTTGATGCATCTATTTCTATTATGAATGCCTTAAAATAGTCAATACAATACAAGATTGATGCAAAAATAATTGATATCTTTAAAGCTTCAAAAAATGCTTCAATTTGTTTGCTCCACTCAAATTTGTCTTTATATGTCAGACGTATAAAAAGAGCCACAACTTAAAAAAAGTTCTTGATAAAAATCTAATAATAATCAGGAAATTCTAAAAAACATCACACATCTCTGATATATTTTTAAAATAGATTAAAATATTATCCAAGTAACAAATAATAAATTCATTAAGAAACTCATGAAAGGCATCATTTATTAGATATTGAAAAATAGTTGGTGCATTTGTAAGTCGAAAAGGCATGACATTATGTTTGAAATTCCTATACTTGGTTCAAAACGTAGTTTTCAATTTATCTCTTTCTTCAATGCATTCCAAGTTGTATTCTCTTTTTAAATTTATTTTGATATGGATCTTAGCTTGATTGAATTGATAAAAAAGTCTTGAAATCAAAAGTAGAGGATATCTATTCTTGATAGTGATCTTGTTGAGTCATGAATAATATATAGACATTCACCAAGATCATTTTTTTTCCCCAAATAAGATAGGAGCCTCTAATGGAGATTTAAAATAGTAAATAAAGTTTTTAGCCAAGTTCTCATTAATGTCTTTGTTGAGTGCAACCAATTCTTTTTATAATAGAGTATAGATTGGCCCAAATGGTGGTTGAGTTCTTCTTTGAAGATTAATAGAAAAATCATAGAAAGAATGCTTTGGAAGAATATCTGCATTCTTTTTTTCAAAAATATCTTGATAATCTTGATATTTACTTATAATGCCATTTAAAATTTTTTTCTATCAATAGTAAGTGTGGCATATATAATAAAAGTTTTATCTTCTTTTCTAGCATGCATGAAAGCTCTTGCATCAATCAATATTAATTTAGATATATTGATCTTATAGATTTTTATTTGCCTAAAAAAATCTTAGATTAAACTATGGAAAAAATTAAGGTTACAAGAAATCTAATCTATTTGAGGATTATATTTTTTTAGCTATGATAATCCTAAAATAATTGAATTAAATGAGATTTAATTATATTAAATATTATTAAATTATTATGACCATTAATTGCTACATCTAAAGAAATAATTTTATAGATAACATCTTCATGAGATAACAAACAAATATCTATTATTTTTACATGCATAAGTTTAGTTTTTTTAATTAAGGATATTTCTTATTTTTTTTAATAAAGTCTTTGTTTATAAAATAAGACGAGGCTCTTGAATCTAACAAGACTAAAACTATGTGATTTTTTAGTCTTCAATAAATTTCTACTATAAAACAAGATGAAAGATTTGAAGAGAAGATATGATCTTTATGAGGTGTTACAAAAGATTCTAGTTGCCTAGTTTCTATTATAATTGAAGAAATTGGTTTTTTGACATATCATCTTTTTTGGCAATCATGCTTATCATTTTGTAATTGTATTGTTTTTTTAGATAATATTGAGTAGAGTGGTTAGGTTCTTCATAATATAGGTACAACCCTTCTTGACGGCATTAAATCTATTTTTGCTCAATAATAGATTTGAAATGTACCATGTCAATTTGCATAGGTTTTGGTCTTGATAAATAAAATTTTGTGAGCTTAGAAGCTATTTCCATGACTTGACTTGTAAATTTTTAACCAAATATTTATTCTTAGCATCTTTCAAAGAGTGGATTATTGCATAGAATGGCTTAAACAATAAATTATTTTAAAAAAATTGCTCTTAGCATTATCAACAATAAATCTTTGATGTTGTCTTTTAATCCATATCAAAATTAACTGATATAGATTTTATCACTTCAATCCATATTACAAGCAAGGTTTTAGAATTCAACAACATATATGGTTGCTAAACATGATCTTTGTTGTAAAAATACAAGTTTGGTCTCTACTATCTTTTCTTGATCACTTTTACTAAATGTAGACATAAAAACTTTTAAGAATAAATTTAAATCATAGAATAGTCATGAATCCTTTTCCATCAAAGGTACAAATCAAAAGAAAATACTTCTAGTTAAAAGTGCACCTATAAATCAAACTTGAGTAAATCTATCAAGATATTAAAAAAGATGCACACTTAGATAGAGCTTTATTTGTTGTAAAAATCCTTGAAACTTTGATCTTATTCTATCAAACTTCTTTAGCATACTTATCCTTGCATCTCTCACACTTGTAGTAGCAAGACTTCTAAAATTTAGCTATAAGCTTGATTTATTTATATCTCTCAATTGCATAATTTTTTAGTATAGATTTTAAATTTTATTGTTAACTTCTTCTATAAGCATTGGAATACTACCTCTATGATTGATATTGGAGATATATGAGATTTATATCCTAAGAGTATTGAAAAACTTATGAAGGTCTATAATGGATATAAATCTATTCTTATTTCTACTAAGAGTAGCATGCAAAAACTTTTCTTTCATAAATAACTCAAACAAATTTATAAGTCAAATTAGAGGAGGATAATTTGCAACCTCTAATATCAAATAAAAATTTCTAGTTAGATAATATATATGGAGAATGGCAACATTCTATAGGATCTTTGACACACGTCTAATTTACAAGACTTACACCTTAACTTGTAAAGCAAGTTTTTTATATGTATGTTGTATTATTAATTTGTACCACAAGCTATCAATACATGCAATATGTGGCTAATTTATTGGCTAAGTTATTAACCTATCAATCACTTGTAAACATATATAAAGATGAAACCACATTAATACAACTTCTAAGAAGCTTTTCTACAAGAAATTATCAAATTAATCTATTTTTATTTATTTATAATATTTAAATAATTATTAAAATAAATATTTATATTTGTGATAAATAAAAAAAGCTTAGATAGATTTGTACATGTCCAATGTCATATTATTTCTTAATATTGTTGTAATAAGAACCATTATCTATAAATATCACAAAAGTTATATTTATAGCTAGATTGATGTTAACTTACCTTGTGACTATAGCTTAATTATGTAGTTGACATATTGTCCATTTGAATTGTATACACATTATTTTTATATAAATAATTTTTGATACTTATTCATTTGAAATGGAAGTCATGATTAAGATCCATCCATGTTGCTAGCAAGATATTCTATTGTTTGTTGCTTCAACTTATACAAATGACATTAACATCTTGCATGCTTCCTAGTAGAGTAGCTTCAAGGAATATTGTTATTGCACTCTATCAAGAAGATTCAAAAAATTATAAGATTGCATGTACTATCTACAATGATTATTAATCTCTTTTTTATGTTGATCTTCATGGTTTTTTATCTATTTTTATTTCAATGGAAATCTTTGTGATGCTACATACTAATACATATACAAATATAATAGAACAAATAAGATTAATTGTTTATTTTTTGTTCATCATAGATATATATAATTTGCAATTCCTGTATATAGTTTATGATTTAGTCCTCTTTAAGTATTGATTCCTGGTTTTTTAAGGTATATTTTGCTACAAAGTACTTTTAACTTCTTTCCAAAAATGTCTATATTAATTATTTTTCTAATCTACTTTAATTTGCCTCATTTATGGCCGTATAAAGTAAGTAGAGACCTTTTTATAAAGAAAAAATATAAAAACTTACTATTTTTTACTACTTCTTTGATTATTATCTATACTTCTAAGCTAATTTTCTATAATATTTTCAACTAAATCCTTCTATAGTTTTTTTTTTTTTTTTTTTTTTTTTTTTTTCCCCTCCTGATAGCCTTGTTGCAATATGATAGCATATACTTTGTCATCTATAAGATCCACTAGGATTTTCCTATAGTAAGTAAAAAGAACCAATTTTATAAGTCTTTTTTTTTTGCCTCAATTTGCATTGCTTGCTATTAGCATAATATTGCTTGATGAGAATGAAAAAATTACAAGAGGTGCCAATACCTTGATACAGGGTTCGGATGTCTTGGAAGGATCAGCTTTGTATTGTTAAATTTGCAAGCAAATTGTAGCACCAACCAAACTAATTAAAGAAGCAAAACATCTTCACAAGTATAGATGGTGGCTGGGAACAAGATTGGGAACGAGAACTAGGAATAGGGTTGGGAACAAGGGACATGTACAAAATGGATAATAAAGGAGAAAGGGGGAAAGGGGAAAGGCAGTGTGACTTTAACAAAATTGGAGTGTGGCTTTAACAACTCCCTATATATATATATATATATATATACTAATGAAAAGCAAATCACATTAACGCCCATTATAATACTATTGAAGAAGACTGTTTGTGAAGAATTTGACTGCATCGACAACTAAAAAGGAGATTTGTACACCTCACTTGGAGCTGCATTGCACAGAGCATTGAATATGAAGTTGGACATAAAGACAGAGTGTGGTTAATGAATTAAAAAAATTACTCCAGCACAGGAAGCATGTGGGGAGGGGGGGGGGGGGGGGGGTGGTTGCCCCTTTTCCGTCCCTATGGGGGCCTTGGCCCTGCTGCAGCTCTCTCTGCGTTGTCGAGAAGGATGCGCAAAGGCAGCCGAAGAATGCGCAATGAAGACTTGATGTTCAGGATCACCAGGTTGGCTCTGGACGTGCTCTGGATCACTTCCTGGCTCGTCGACTCTGGGCTTGTCCAGCTGCGGCGACCACGCTTTGCTCGTGTTGTTACATCGCTTGGTCATGCAGATAAATGTGCAAGAGGAGTGTCTTGCTGATTACTATGCTACTGTATCAATTCCTGAGATCTCTATGCTCAATATGGCTGTGTAGCATGACCTGATCCGGAGGGCGATATTCTAGGGTTGTGTTAGCCCAGCGCCTCTTGCAAATGGCACGACCGGCGTGCGGTACTGGTTTGCAGGTCCCCACTTCAACCTGTTTGATGCTACTGCTCGCAGCTGTGGCGTGGAGCTGCTGGTCTACTATGCAGCTTGCGGGCGCGACCCCAGCAGCGGCGGTGGAGCAATGTAGTGAGTCAGGATGCACACTTGATAACGCGTACGATGTGTGGAATGACAGGTCCCCTTGTAAGGTACGGCTCGGGTCTATTCCAACTTGAATTCGATGGTGAATTTAATTTCTGAGGCATGAGTTTCTATTAATAAAACTGAGTTTTTTTTTTAATTTTATTTGCTCTCTCTTTCCCGAGATCGAATTCAAGACGTATTGGCAATCCATGTAAAAGTTTAGAATTAGAGGATAGTGAATCCTTAGCAACACCTCCTAGCTGAATGGGTGTTTGGGTGCCGTTGTACCGATCTGCTCACTGGTGATTTAGGCAGCTTCCGTGGTTTATCCAAGAAACGAAGCAGAAGTATTGAATGCGGTTGCAGATGCTGTGAGAACCAACCGAAAGATAAAAGTGTCCACCAGATATGGCCACAGCATTCCGAAACTAGCGTGCCCTGGAACGTCATCTGGAGTCATAATCAGCTCCAAAATGTACAATTCCATTGTGAGTATCGATACAGAGAATGCCACTGTGACGGCACAGGGTGGAATCACAATGCGACAACTGATCGACCAAATTGCAAGCAAAAGCCTCGCACTCACCGTTGCACCATCGTTTGATGGCGTAACTCTAGCTGGGCTACTAGCTAACGGCGTCCACGGGAGCTCGTTATTCGGCAAAGGTGGCGCCATCCACGAGTACGTGATTGGCATGACAATCGTCACGCCCGCTAGCGCAGCTGAAGGATATTCGAAGCTTCGAATTCTGGGGAGTGATGACCCAGACTTGAATGCCGCCAAAGTAAATCTTGGTGTCCTCGGCTTTGTCTCCACTGTAACCTTGCAACTTGAGCCTATGTTCAAGAGACAGGCCACGATGCGCGTCCTACACGAAAATGACACTGGAGAATTGGTGGACGAAGTGAACCGCATCTCTAAATCTGAGGAGTATGGGGAGATCATGTGGTATCCATCGCTGCGTGAAGTGGTTTACAAATACGATCACCGCGTCCCAGTTACCACTCCCGGAGAGGGGAAGAACAACTACTATGGACTGCAATCCCAATTGGCAACTACCGTTATGGTAGCAAGGCTAACTGGTAAGTCTTTCCGTTCCGACCACAATTCACGAGGTTCATGCCAAATACAGTCTTTGGATATGAAGAGTCTGTCAGTGCTTTCGGGTATCAAGTCCGTATACGTCTACTTATCACAAATTGAATTTCGGATTGCAGAGGAAGCAGCCGAGGCTGTTGGCGGGAGCAAAGGCCGTTTAATGAAATGCGAACTCGCTCTCTCAACCGTAACAGCACAGCAGACAGTGGCATATGGATATCAAAAAAACAAGAATATTGACATTCCAAATATTGACATAATCAGCGTGAACATTACCGCTGTAAACGTTACAAAAACCTTCCTCAACGCTTTCCCAGTGGTCGGCTATCAAAACGACATGGCGACTGCAGGCGGATGCCAACGTGACCTGAAACCAGGCTTCTACTGTGCATGGGATCAAAGAGTCAAAGGGATCGTATTTTTCGACGCAGGGATCGCTCTCCCACTGCGCAACTTAGGACCATTCCTCGAAGACGTTCGGAAACTGCGCGACGCTGCTCCGGCGCACAGTCTCTGTGACATGGATATCTATACTGGTTTTCTCTTCCGCTTCGTCAAGAAAACCGACACCTATCTAGGCACGGCGCAAGAGGATACTGTCGCGGTGGACTTCGCCTGGAGCCGGGGCAACGACGGCATGACGCCACGGCTGGATATGGACGTCTTTCAGGAGCTGGAGCAGATCGCAATCGACAAGTACGGCGCCAGGCCGCACTGGGGGAAGAACCGCAACTGCGCGTTCGAAGGCGTGTGGAAAAAGTACCCGAAGTTGCTCCAGTTTCTGGACACAAAGAACAGGTTCGATCCGTCAGGGTTCTTTTCTAGTGAGTGGTCAGACGCGGTGTTGGGGCTGAATGGCCAGGGTGCGCCTGGAGTGTCGACCGATGCGCCGTTCTGCGCAATCGAAGGGAACTGCAATTGCGTGATTGATGAGCATTGCGCGCCGCAGATGAACTCGTTCTGTAGACCTGGACGAGTCTTCACGGAGGCCCGAGTGTGTCGCTCTCGTTGATACTAAACATTATGCGGCGTCGTCACCTTGGACCTTTCAGGCGAACGGATCGATTAAGCTTTTTTCTCAATATTCTTCGTTGAAATGGGTTCTTCAGTTCTCTAGACATAATCACAATCTGACACCCTGCAGTTCCGCAAACCTAGGATGAGCTTCTGCTCGTCGCATGTCGGACAGTTCCACATGCTTCCATGCTTCTCATGTGTGGCCTCTCCAACGCCATCACTACGAATGAGCGTGTGCACATTTATATACCGATAGCAGGCTGGAACGTCCGAGACTTTGAGCTGCTTAACTTCGACTTTCCATCGAACCCCCTGCTACTTACCAAGGAAAAGATTCCGCACTAATACCACAGTGACTCACATGATTCTCTTCAATTTGGTGTCAATTATGTAAGTAGATTTGATATGAGTCTTATGAACAGTGATCGGCTGAGCTCCCCTCAACCAAAATCTAACAATTTTAGTGTAATCTTTTTAAAAAACATAGAAAAACGTTACAAATTTACACAAGCGTGGTGCGTGTAAATGTATCTCTCCGCGACATCTTCGTTCTCCAAAGACGCCAGCCTCCTCCGTTCTCCAGAACTGATTATAGTGCAGCTACGTCTAAAAAACAAGACCAAAGGACATATCTATGAATGTTTGTATGAAAGTATGTATATGTATATGATACAGAATACTAGTACACAAAGAACAAAGAACTTGAATAGAAAAAAGGGACTAATTTCAATGTCAAAGTCACCAGCTCAGAAGTATAGTTTTGTACAACTCAGTACATTTTTCTCGCATGCAATTTCTACACAAGTTTATCACAACTGCTGAAAGACAACAAAGAAAGAAAAATGAGTAGAAAAACATACCTTTCTTTCCTGTCTTCTATTTTGTTAATTTTTTTCTTGTTTCACTAACAGCAATCTCAGACAATCTCTTTACGTTCGTAAGACGTTTGCATATTATTCAAACTTATATCTTTAACAGGAATTGGCTTTCATAAGCGATCTAGTAAGTAGCTAATGTTTGGCAATTTCTCACCTGATCTTTCAAACATTAACGTTCTGATTTTTTTTGTTTGTTCGAATTACAAACCAATTTAATGTGTTTATCGCAATTTAGAAGTTAAAATTAGTACTTAAAAGTTTTCTTATACTTGAACTGCAACATCTTAATAATAATAATAATAATAAACTGAAAATATTGTATCATAGTCTATTAACATTATAACCTAGTTATAGTTTATGATGTATGTTTTTACATCTATATATAAATATATATAAACATACTGCACACATGATTGTAAATTACTTATTTTCATGATTGGTTAAAATGTTCGTTCATGAATTCTACACACTTAAATGTATATCTTGAATTTATTTCAACTTTAAAATATTACCTTATTATAAGAAATAGTTATAATTTTATATATCTTTTTACCTTAAAGTTTATCTCAAGTTTAGAGTATGTTGGTTTAAGCTTAATATGATATATGTTAGATATGGAAGATGATTCAAATGTGCAAATTTATATCGAATTATACAATTAAGGAATCTGAACTATTTCAAAATAAATTTGAAGTCTTTCAAATATTGCAATGCAAAAGAGATACAAATAATTCTCGTGGAATGCGATGAATAGTTTTCTATATCTGGCAAGTCTCAGTCAGAAATGGTTTTGTGAACTTTTAGAAAAGCGGAAAGTCTGCGAAGGCGCAGAATTGGACGAGTCCTGGACGCGGGGCAGATTTTTCGTTTCAATTCGGACGAAACTACAATGAGAGATGCAGGATGGAGCTCGTGGCTATGGCGGAGCTTTGTGAGGAATGCTCTCGCTTCTGCTGTGCGACTCTTCTGCTCTCTTCGTCCGCCGGCGGCCATGGCATCAGGCGGATCTTCATTAGCTTTGCGCCTCAATTTTCTGGTTGTGGTACGCTGGATTTTTTCTTTTACAATATTTTTCTGTGCAATGGAGGTCGAATCCCGATCAACGTGATCGCGTTTACGGTAGCTAATGCCATTGCGTAAGGAATGGACGAGCGAATTGCACATTTGTAGATCAGAAATTGAATTGTCGCATTTCCCGATTCTTGCTGGGAAACATCAGCATTGGGTGATGGCATGTTGAGTTAGAATGACGACGAGCAGGGTGTAGAGATAATAAGTTTGAGGTATTCATTTGCTTTTTCCAGGCAGTGTCGATGGCGGTGTGGGGTTCCCTTTATGTGAGCAAATATTTGCGGGAGTTCGACCTAGCTGCCAGGTGCGTGTCCAAATTTTCAGATTTTAGCATATTTTTGTCAGCGCCGTTTGTATTACGAATCTTGTCCTATGAAAATTCAGTCTGTGATAAAGGATTTTTCTTGGGATTTCATAGCAGGAAGATTTAAGGTGGGTTGGTGACATCAGGCAGTATTAGATTATAACATTGTTGGACACCGAAGTCGAAGTGAAGGTCAGTTGAGATTGTGTGTACTTACGAAAAGTTGATTCCAGGTCAATCAGGAGATCAGAATTGCACTTGTTCATAATTTTCGTAGAGAAGCAGGGTCATGTTTCCCCTGTTCTGCATATTTGCGAGTTGGCAAGGCTGATGTCAATAGAAAGCTCGTCTTAATCTGTTCTGAATCCCCCTCATTGTTAAACCCTAGCAAGGGATCTAAGTGTGGGAGCAGATAAGTAGTGGGAAAATTGTATTATGGCTGGTCCATGAGGCCTCCGGTGTTTAGACCTTTATAAATGTCAAACGTGCTGGTGAATTATGCCTATTCCCTCTCTAATTCCTCGTTATACAGCTATTTTGTAATAATTCAGTTCTTCGCACCGAACAGGATAATGCTATTGTCTCGAGTCTGATCATATCGATCGAGATTTTTTAGTTCTGGGATAGAAAGCTAAAGAATCATAATATTCTTAGTCGCTACAAAATGGTGTTTCCTGAATCCTGCTTTAATCGGAATGGCACTTGGAATGTTGAAACACTAGTCCTCTTTGTATTATCGTTCCACCTGGCTATTCGCCCGTGATTCTTCTTCAGCCAGTGGCTATACCTCTGGCCTCCTATGTTCTAACCATGATATTTTCTGGCAATGTTGGGAATGAACGGCATCTTTCAGCCACGCAGCGGTGTGCCCACGTTCGGATTATTCTGAGAATGGGGTAGGCGTGAAATCCTTCTCGTAGTTTTATTGTTTGTGTTTTCAAGTTCTCTATTTAGAAAAGGTTTACCTTCCATCGAACGTTTTCTACCCAAGGTCGTTAGTGATTAGTGCAGTAACGCTTTACATTTGTTACATGTTTCAGGATGTGATTCCTCACATATCTCGACCATCTGAGAAGTATATATCTTTGATACTACCAGCATATAATGAGGAGGCAAGACTCCGCATCACCCTTGATGAAATGTTGAGGTATCTCTTCTATTGTTAATTTCACTTATATTGAGAATTGTGATATCAAGTGTGTACGTTCATCCCTGCGTACATCATTATGACTGGACACAGTCTGATACGACATTAAAGTGATATATCCATCCTTGCTGTGCACATGATGACGATCCTTGCTGTTCTATGTTCAACAGTTATCTTCAGAAGCGAGCCGACGACAAGTCATTCACCTATGAGGTATCCTCACGATATGGAAACCTTCTTCCTTCATCTTATATTTTATATTTGTTTTTTGTTTCCCTCTGGTGTTTAACTTTGCGTTTACTTCACTAGTTTGGTCACTAATTCTGGCATAGTTGTAGTAATTCAATTGTATATGAACAATGTAGCAGATTGTTTGAACCTTTGGGTCATCTTTGTCGTGGGGCCAGATAATTATTGTGGACGATGGCAGCACTGATAATACTTTGGAGATTGCATCCGAGTATGTGAAAACCTATGGGATGGATATGATACGAGTTCTTAAGCAAGTAACGAACCAAGGCAAAGGAGCAGCTGTCAGAAAAGTATGCAGTTTCGACCACTGTTTTTTACTACAGGACGGTCAATTATTCTTTTTGTTTCACCATTTTTTCCATTTTTCAATTTAATGTTTTAAATATTTTTACCGTTGCATGTTTTAAATCACATATTAAATTTGCAGCCAAGAATTTTAGGAATCCAACAGAGGCTCAAAGACTATCTATACTGAGAAGTTTGATAAATTGCAGGGAATGCTTTGTTCTCGTGGAGAACTACTTTTGATGCTAGATTCTGACGGTGCCACTAGGTTTGCAGACTTGAGAAAGTTGGAATTGCAAGTAAGTCACCGAATTTCTTCGATTCTGCTGAACTTATATGAGGATTAATGAAGCCAACATCGTCGTTTAATGAGGTCTCTTACCAGTCAGTCACAACGTTTACACTGTCCAGTTTTGACATAAATTCAAATAATGTTGTTCCTTCAGATGTTGCGAAGCATGGCAGACCAGCACAAATTTGCGACAGAAGGCTCTGTTTTTGCTGGGGACAGTATCCCCATAGCTGTATGGGGCTCCCGAGCACATCTAGAAAAACAAGCATTAGCCACAGTAAGTGGTTTTTCCTCTTAGACGTGTCATAAAACTATGAATATGTAACAGCATTTGTACTTAATGTATGTCTCTGATTATCAGCGGTCACTTTGCTTTTATGAATCTGATGTGGAACAGTTCACTCAACTTAAAAAAAACTATCTGCTACTGACGGGTCTAGGGCAAATTTTTTTAGTCGTTTTTTCTAATTTTTTGTTATGCAGCGCAAGTGGTACCGTAACATCCTCATGAAAGGCTTTCATCTTTGTGTTCGCCTTGTTGCTGGTGGAGGCATCCGTGATACTCAGGTTTCTCTTCTTGGCCCTTCTACACATCCTATTAGTCTCGGGATAGACTGTTGAGGACATTTATATATCTGACTGTTTCTGCTAGAGTGAAATCGAACTTCACATAGATCTAACGTAACTACGTTTCGTTGGAAGCAGTATGCAATTTTAGAAAAAAAACTAAGCCTGTGCACAACCCTAGCAGCATTCTTGATGTTTGACTGATGGTGGAAATGGATGTATCTGTCTACATCATTTTCAGTATCTCTCTACCTGATGGCATCGACAACATGCGCTTTACTTATTGAAGCTCTTTAGAATGATTAGAAAGGTCTAGTATGGATTTTGCCTGCAACAATTGATACTCAGGAGCTGATAACCATTTTTGTTTAACTCTTGACAGTGTGGCTTCAAGATGTTTACACGAGCTGCAGCTCGCAAATTATTTCACAACATGCGGTTGCGAAGGTGTTGTTTCCTTCACCTCCTATTTTGCATAAGAAATGTATCACTAGGTAGCCTTGCCAATACTAAAACTCGTTAACGTTTAACAATTGGGTCCATTAAGAAAACAAATGCTGGACTATTATTCGGTTTTTTTTCAACATTAGCAGAAACAGCCCATGCTTATGGAAGACAATGTTGCTTGAACAGGTGGACATTTGATGTGGAATTGCTCTACCTCTGCAAGAAGCTGCGCATCCCTGTTCATGAAGTGGCTGTTACTTGGTCAGAAATCCCTGGTTCGAAAGTGAAACTCCTTGGGATTGCCTACATGCTTGTTGAGCTTCTTCTTATTCGAGTAGGTTACGGGCTTCATGTGTGGAAAATTGTGAATAATTCGCTTCGGAACTAGTATTATGAACTTTGCTAATTCACCACATTTCGTTTGCTGCCAATTTAGCCGATCTCAGAGTTTTATGGTTTATTTTACGAGAGCGATTTATTCAGAAAATCAGTCTTGGGTACCTTGCGATTTCACTCGTTCGAGGAATGTTCGCCTTTCTATGTGCATGTAGTGTCCCTTGTTTCAGCTTTCTACATGAATGTGCTGATTCTTAGAATATGAGCTTCAATTTATTTGACAGTTGCAATGGTTAAAGCTGCCAGACTTAAGTAGCATGTATCCTATAAAGATTATCATACTTTTTCCACAATAAGCAAAACTTGTACGATGAGAACTAATCAACACTTACGAGTCAGAATGTGCTACGACGAGTAATTGTTAAATTTGTTGGTCTTTCAAAAGCACTACAATATAAAAAGAACTGCATCTTTTACAAGCCAGACGATGACATGCAACCTCTTGGCCACCTTCCACAGGAGTTTATAAAATACCTTAAGGAAACGGTCTACTCCTAACCGTATCACTAGCTATTTCAGTACCATAGTAAGTACTGCAGCTGTTTACTTCCAGACATAGCTGTGACACTAGTAAATCTGCACACAACCTGTCTAAAGAATCGTACAAAACAGAATGTACAAGGTTGTTCACTCTAACGAGTATTGAAGCCTGTACTTGCTACCCCCTCTCTCCTCAGCAAATCTGCTCCCGTTGGGTTGCCAAAACGTCAACCCGTTAAAAACACTACCATCGCTGCATGGAAACCGGAGCAAACAAACACACTCAAGGACAGAGAGGGATAAAAAACATAATGAAGTTCCACCCGTTACGTATCGTCTACATGATTTGCGCCGCGACGTTGCCTCAACCCCTCGTCTGAAACATGAGTCACTACACTTCCCGGTGTGGTCGAGTTTGAAGGAGTTGTATTCAAATCCGTGTCGACGACTTCATCGCCGTTTCGTGAATGGGCTCGGCCATCTCCAAGTTCATGAAACACAGGTAAGAAAAAAGAGGAACTTCCCAGTATCCAAGGCAACACTGAACCGAACGCACTGAAGGAATTGTGCATCAGAGGACTAGTCGGAGGTTCTCTAGATACATCCACTCCAAAACTAGCTTCCATTCCCGTATTTCCGAACCTAGCACCCCGCTCTCTACTCCTGCGCAACCTGTCCATATCTAGTCTCCTCCTCCAATACCTACTGTCAACATCTTGTCCTGGGCTGTTTGACCACCTTCTCATCGCAGGTGGAATGAAGCCGAAATCGCTAGGAGTACCGACATTAAAACTAGAAACGTCAAGTAAAGGAGGGTCAAGCACAGCGTTCAAGTCGTTGACAACGTTAGAACTTGTTAGTGGGGTTCTGGGACTAAGTACTGCGCCAGGAGTTCTTTGGTCACGGGGACTTGTACCAATTTGATTATCAGGACTTCCGGTTCGGACGTTCAATCCACCCATGTCTCTCATGGTCTGGCCTGAGTTGTTCATGAAAGTCCCTTGGCTGACGTGGACAGTAGAGGTAAGATAGGCAGACGACGTTATGTGCACTCCTTGATGTTGTAGCATCGCCTGCCTACGCAAGTATAATTGTAGCGCAGGTATCTGCAGATCAAATTTTTAAAAAGGAAATTTTCTTGTTCAGCATTTTGCTAAGACCAAATGAAGGCACCATATGCAGAAATAATTCACATGTCATTAAACCTCTAAACCATCCGTTTAACATATGCGACTATACAAAATTGACGGGAATTTCTGACATAACTCCCCTCTCCTCTGGATAACAGACTCGGGCAACAGGAAACGACTTTCCCAGAGACGCATCTTCTTGCCATTGATCTTTACCAATCTCTGCCTACTCCTAATGAAAGACGAGATAATTCCTGGTTGATAAGCCTCACCTCAAAGCGATTCCAGAAATAAAGCACAAGATGCTGCATAAATGCAGCAGTTGCTGAGAAGGCCAGATACGAGAAACCTGGCCACATGTAGTTCAGATTACTAGTGCTCAGGACCCACACTGAATATGTAGCTTTCAGCACTTAAAATTGGCGTAGGCATTGAAGAGGAATAATTATACCAGAGAAATAGATGAACTTTAAGCAACAGCACAGCAACAATCAAATTACTGCTAAGGAAGAAAAGCAAACACAGAGGTGAAATAGGAAGCTGATAAAGAAATTTACCGTAGGTATAAGAGAAGAAGTAAATGTGGAAAGCCATGAAATAGAGAAAAAAGAAGCGAGGAAAGAACTGCATCGATAGGGGCGTCCTCACGCTGCAAAATGGCAAGTACAAAGGGTGCTCGCGTGACAATATCCGTCAAAGGAAGCTTATAATTCCAAATGAAATAAACAACCGCTTACAGAAAAAAATTCTAGGCAGCACATTAATGATTCAGATAGTGAATAAGAAGTTTTTTAGTCGAAAACAATTCAACACCAGTGACATCCTACACCAGCTTGAAGACGAAACCCAAGAGAGTCCTTGGAACACGAAACAGGCAAAAAATCTGATTCACATAGACAAATAGCTATGTTTTCTTTTCCTACCTATTGAATACAAGGATAGACCTTGCAACCTTAGAACCTGACACCTGCTATTACTCTGCAGATATAACTCCCAAACATAAAAGGTATTGTCTAAATCAGCACAATACCTTATCATAGTGAAGAGCTCGCAAAGCCAGACCAGTGTGAGGACCAGAAACGCAAGCAGCTGGTCATCGAAAAACTCGAACAGGAAAAAGAGTATCCCAATCATTATCTGCATCACAACCGAGGCAACAACAGCTAAAAGGTCTAGTTAACACAAAAACATGTCAATCCACAAGACTCACCACGCATCTACTAATCAGCCACTCCCACAAAGCCGACTGGTATCTGAAAGCCACTTCTAGGCTGCACGATTATGATAACCACGAGACAAGACAATACTCAGCTTACCGAAATAAGGCCAAATGTAGCATTAATACCGAAAAAACCACAAAGGAACACTAAAAGTTCTTTTACTGGTACCTTTCTACCCGAAATAATCTCCAGAAAACGTCTGCAGTTCGAACTCACTATAATTCCTGATGGTAGTGTCCATTACACAGTGTCTGATGTACAAGGGTGATAACGTACTCACCGGAACAAAAACGAGCGACTCAACTACGTGAATGAAGATGAGTCGATAAGTTGGCAATCGGTGACGAGCATGGTGCTGCAACTGCACTGTAGAATCATGAACAAGAATTTACGTCATTTAAAGCGTCGACTTAGAATCCAAACATTAACCACATTTAGAGCCCCAGGTCATGGAGATTTTTTATGTCAGAAGAGCCAAACCTCGAATCAGGGTTGATAGAAATTCTAGACGCCACACATTGACATGAATATATGGGAGCGCGGAAGGGCTAATTTAGTGTGTATGCACAACTTGACACACAAGGCCAGGACGGGGCGAGGACTTAAACGAAACCCTTCGCTTTCCGCCTTATGTAGTGATACCCAGGGCTTAAGCTAGAGAGAGACTCCAACCCAATTAAGTAAATCTAAATAACCATGCATAATGGTGAGGCAAAGTTTGATTTTTACCTGTAAACTTCAGCATGCGAGCTTGTGTCTCTCTCAACGTAAAGGATACAGACATAGTAGTCGTGAAGAAAACAAAGAGAGTTGTGATAAGCACACCGCACTTGGATACAATGTAATCTGGCATCACCACACAAAAAATCACCGTTATTCACAAAGCTCTAACCTAGTTATGAAAGGAAAGGCCACCAATGAGTACACCCAAGGAAAGTCGCAATAACGAATAAACTTCAAATAAAATCCAATAACAGAACCAACTTGTTACGATTTTCAAATATTACAAATCATCTGACAAAGTGGTGCCAAATTGACCATTGTTAGCGCATCTCACACCAAAATCATAAGAACAGCGCTCACCACAACCATCAGAAACACAATACATAAATGCACATATATCATGAGCCTTTCATGAAATTTGAAAACGACATATGAAGATTGATTGCATACAAATTCAAAGCTACTAAATCTTTAATAAGCAATTACTTGACACTAACAAAATATAGCAGCTAATTCAAACATGTACCTTCTATTCCCTGAGGCACACTGCCGAACTCTTGTAAATAATTCAAATTGTACAGCTCTTTCGTCTGGAAATTATAGAGGTACCCTGAAAAAGAATAAGATTTACAACACGCAAAAAGAAACAAAGGATTACTCCAGGGGCAGGATTTCCAAAGAATTGCTGAAAAAACTGTAGATTGTTCACTACAACATGTTCACATCCAGTTGGGATGTGCGCAAATAGCTATCGTCAGTGAATAATATCGTGAATCTGATGATCTAGCAATAAAGTACTGCAGAACACTGGTAAATAACGTCGAAACAAGCTCCACAAGAAAATTAAAATAATCATTCGGCCTAAGGAAGCTTAGAAAAGCGTAATAGGATAACGTTAAAAGCTTTGGCAAGGTACACTAACGAGCAAATCAAGCAGCTCAGGGTTGTGGTTAGAAGTATTACAGTGGAAAACAAAAGGTACATAACAGCCAGATCTACCTGGGTGAAAAAATCAGAGACTCTGCGTTTCGATAACCATATCTGCACCTACTTTACAGAAATAATTCTATATAGATTCCTGAAACAAGATCACGAACACACACAATGACAGCAGAGTCAAAAGATGCGACCATACCTCGTCCATATGCGCTGAGAAGGCTGTTCATAAGAATCGTATCATAGCCCACAAAGTTGTCAATTAGAAACTGCTGCCACCTGCAAGAAATAAAAACAGCAGAATGCACTTGAAGTGACAGCAACAGAAAAATTAAGTCGCTTTTCTATTCCTACCTAAGCAGACCGTTCTTTCAGAATGATCAGTGGAGAATTGATGTCAAAAGCAACAACTTCCTAAAATTTGCAGATGACAAGTAAACATACAAAAATCATTTGGTAACAGCAACCACATACATTATTCACTATTGCGGGAGAAAACCATAGAAAGCAGACGTACCGATTTCCAAAGCAAGGATGATGAGCTGAAACGCTGATGTTGATGGTTTTCACATCATGTCGATTCTTGGCAGTTTCCGTCATCATTAAGTAGCCCTGGGGACGCAGAAAAGCAGATGAGTAAGCTGGTGAAGATACCAAAACACTGAAAAAGCAAGAAAAGTGTAGTCAAAGAAATCCAATTCACACTTGCAAACAAGCGCGGTTGGCAAGAAGAACATCCAGACCTTTTCAATGCTGTACAAGTACGTTGGATCTGACAATCTGCTCCCATTCTCTGGAAGATCCACTGCACATTAATACAGTTAACCATAAAAATGATAAATTTCCCCAAAAGGAGAGAAAGAGAAAAACCTACGAGAAAAGAAGCTTCATCAACGCCACCGATAACAGAAGCACTAGATTAAAGCGTTCATTCTGCAGTTAACATTAGGCAAAAGTTGTGGTTTCTTTCGATACGCCCAAAGTATTTAATTTCTGTTCGAATAGTAACAAGAGAAACTCTCACCTACCCATCAAAATAAATGTAGGGTCAACATTAAAATAAACTCATTGCAAATCCAAGAAAATCACAAAGCCTGTGTTGAAGAAACTTATAATGGATGCAAAAATGTTGGATGAAAATATTTTCAAATGTTGGAAACATTTGGCTTTCATTAACATGCAGCTCCACAGATGAAAGGACTCTCCAAACTGAGCATGTGCAATGTAAAATAGGGATGCACAAACAGCCTGCAAGAAGAACCAAGAAGCGTACCAAGAACTGAATCCAACTTGTTCCATGCAACTGTGCGGCGGTCCGACTTTGGTGTGGTAGTGAAAGGCTCCCAACCTGTAATCCTCTGTTCCCCCAACATTGGTCACCATAACCTTTCGTAGCTTCTCACTAGTTTCAAACAGACAACTACAACCCTAAGCAAGTGTAATCGAAAAGGCTGAACACGCAGAATCTGACAAGCAAGGCCGCTCGAACTGCATATGATATCATACTCACAATAAGAAACCGAAACAGAATCACCAATGAGAACCGCAAAACCTTACATATTTACATTACGCAATAAGAAAACCAAAGCTACTCGTACGTTCACCATCACTTCTACGCAGAAGAGATGATTTACAGAGGACCTGAACTCACCCAAACTTGCCATAAACTCCGAATACTTTGTTCAGCGCTCTTGAAGCAAGACGCTCCATAGCTACTCCAACGAGTGAAATAATGTACAAGTGCAGTACCTAGAGGACCTCTGCCTGGTCCAGACATTGGCCTGCTTGAGATATCACGTCCAACACTTTCATCTTTCCCTCTCTGCATCCCTTGCTTGTGCTCATCATCCAACTCTGTCCCACCCACGCAAGTAAAATCCTCCCTTAAGATATCCCATTGAACTGTAATTCCCACACCATACCATGTCGTACAATTTTACAGGAAAAGCCAACCAAAACGTAGCAGCAAGGATGTTCCAATCCTCACCACCCATAACAGGTACTTGATATGTCTCCTCCACCTCATTCCTTCGACCATGAGCATCGTCCATGTACCGCTTCGCTGAAATGTCTTGATTCCAGACGACTCTCTCAAGATCATCTTCTCTAAAGCGATTCCAACTACCTCTAATCTGAAGGAAAGAAGAACGAGGTCGTGAATTTCCAAGAACTCGTCCAGCTAAACAAAGGTGTCAACCGGACAGAGATGAGCAAAATGACCTGATTTAGAAACCAGGAGCATTGCAACACAAAATAAAAATCATTTAATACACTGCTCAGCGTCTACTAAGAACAAGGTAGCATTGGTAAAAATATTGGTTTTCTACATCAAAATAGAACACCTGATACTTCCCGTTTGAATTATTAAAACCACATATACTGCCATTATCAAACTTTGATTGGTAATACGTTACTCCCACTATCCAGAAAATCATATTAAGGTAGAGTACCTTGATTTGCACAAGCTGAGCACCAGCTAAATCCTTGGTTGGAAAATACTCTGCGCATCCAGGCTGCCATAAACCAAAATAAGCAAATTCTGTAAGCATCAAGGTAAAAATCAATCTCACTCACATATGCTGTGAATTGTCCCGAAGGCAAGAGAAACAAAGGCAATAAACTTCGTCGACACATTCTAACCATAATCGTCCCCATTTGAGTTAAAGAAAAACACTCCTGGCTTCCCAGCAAACATATTTGCATCACAATCAAGAGAAAAGTATATGAAATAGTGATCTACAGAACCGCACAGCAAGGTACTTTGGAGTAGAATCCTGTACCGATGGAGCAACTAGCAAGTAATGCGTACAGCGCACTCTAACGACCTTCATTCATGAGAGGTTACAACAACCGCATCCATAAACTCACACATGTGTATTTCGGCTAGTTTGTTTCACTTTTGACATAAAGCTCCACAATACAACAGTATGAGCGCAAAAGGTTCGTAATCTCTGCTGCGAGTAAAGTAGCCAAATTATATAAGAACAACATGTAGTCGAATGTGCCAATTTGTCGTTATATGCAGTGACCTAAGCAGTGTTCGCAGTACAGACACACAAACTACGAGAGCTGGTCCTTGTTCCGAACATGACTTCGCAATACCGACAAAAATATTTAGGTTAAGTGGTGTAGAGTGATTTTTCGAAAACTACATAACCGAGTGTACAACGATCTGTCAAGAAAACCAGGCACGGAATGGTTAGGTACGTACTAAATTCATTCTCATTGGAGAATCAACTTAGTGTGGATACCGAAAACAGAATCCGAGAGATCACAGTGACACAGAAGCAGCCGAGAGGCAGAAAAGTGGAGACGTAGAATGAAGAGCAGAGAGGGAACCTGAGCAACAAAGTTAACGTGCATAACCACGAGAAGGGCTAGCAACGTCATCGCATTGAAGAGGCACGCGAACTCCAACCCTTTCCGAACTTTAGGCGTCAAAAGCCTCGCCAGGACACCGGAGAACCGAGCATGAACCCTCAAAAATGTCTGCTCGGGGTCCATCCTCCTCAAAATCCTTCTTCCAAAAAGAAATCACCGAAAATAATACCCACCAAAACCTCTTAAAGCCCGTCTCGTCTCAACTGCATGAACAAAACTCCGTCCCTCTGAAATACCACATCCACATCCGCGCACATAAGCAGTCGATCAGCCTTACCCTATTTCATGCCGCCTGGAACAACTCCCAAAGAAGCAGCGAGAAACAAAAACAACCAGCGCGCTTCGACTCTTCCCACCCCTCCACACTTCCAATTGCCACAGTCTAACTGCCCTAGCCATAGCCATTCCGAGGTCATCTCCGTCGCAAAATTCGCGCATAACCCTCTTCTTACCGAATAAACTCTGCTCCAACCCCTTCCTACCATCCCCTGCCCCGACTCCTCCCGAATTCCCTCTCCATCACACCACAACAACAGCTATAACCACGCTCAATCCACAGTTTTTCAAGGCACGCCTCTAAACCTCCCCCTGAGCACATCTTCGTCCATGATTCTTCGTTTTGTTTCTTCTTCCTCCTCCAGATACACCGCCTTCTCTACCTTCTACCTTCTCCAGATACACCGTCTCCTCTACCTTCTCAGAACTAACTGCACCACGGTCACCAACGAGCTTGGGCACCCAACGACATCGCCATCGCCATCGCCATCGCCACCGTCTTCTTCCTCTTGCAGATGATAATACTACATGTTCATCATCATTGTCATCGTCACCGCCAAATTCACTGATCCGGTCATCAAGGTCTAACCTAGGTAAGTCTGTCACAAGCACATACGCGGGGACCACACTACCTCATGGCACCACAACCCTCGGTCGTCCGCGCTCACAATCCCTTCAAACTGTGAGGGGAGCTTTTTCCGTAAAAGACAAATAAAAAAAATGAAAAATACGAATGATAATCTGCGGGAGGTTACGTTAGAATGGCAGATGGCGAACACATGACGACGGCTGGGGACGTGAAGGGGAGGGGAAGGAGAGGGAGAGAGGGGTAGAGAGAGAGAGTTGGACAGAAGCAGACCACACTAGTACAAATCCCCAAGTATTCCCGATAACGACGAGGCCCAGTCATGCCTAAATTAGCATTCAGCAACCCAGCCCAGCCCAACCCCACTTCTTCTGTTGTTCTTGCGACCGGAAATTCAAAAATCTCCTCCTCCGTCCTCCTCCGGGACCCCTCTCTCCCTCTCTCCGTCTGTGCTTCTGGTCCAGCCTCGCTCGGGGTCTCTCGCCCCTCTCCCTCCCCTCCCCTGCCCTGCCCTGTTGGCTAACCATCTATCTAGCCGGGGTACCCGTCGCCCAGCCCCAGCAACCCCAGCACCAGCCGCGCGGGTCCCGTGCTGGCTTCTACATTTTTCCTAGGGAGACTCGTAATAGCTCGTAACTTCTACATATTCGCTTCCATCGGGATGGATGGATAGGAGGATGAATGAATATGAGGATGGATGGATATGAGGATGAATGAATATGAGGATGAATGGATATGAGGATGAATGGATATGAGGGTGGATGGATATGAGTATGGATGGATAGAAGGAGGGATGGATGAGTAGTCAACTTGCTTTTCCGCCATGCCACCCTTCTCCCATTGGCCACTGCCAGCGGCCACGTTATCCCCTTCAACACAAATGTGGAAGCTTCGGGGTCCCCCCCACCCTCTTCCTTTCTTCCCACTCCTTGTCGGTTACATCTTCGTCGTTTCCTGCCTCAGTTACTGCCCCGGTGGTTTCTTTACCTTTCCAGACTAGTATTGTACTGCTACTACAATCCCACCATGTCTGTCGTCTTCTAGCTCGAGTCCCCCCCTTCTCCCCCACTTCCCAGTCACCCCCACCCCCCCCCCCCAACCTTCTTCTTCCGCTCGATCAAAAAATCCTCTGCTATTGCTTTGCGCAGTTTTCCATCCTTTGTTCCTTCTTCTTTGTAATTGTCTTTGATTATTTAAAGAAATATTATTGTATAACTATCCATTTTATTTTTAAAATAATTTTTTTTAAAAAAATACTAATAATTTATTTAAATAATGGGAGACTAAAAAGCAAAAGCACATAGATTATTTACAAACTAAAATAAATATAAATTGAATAAGAGAAAATATTTGATTTTATCTACAAAAATTCTTTAAAATTAAATTTGATAATTTATATAATTGTAACTATTGAATATTATATTATAATATTCTTATAGAATAAAATCAAATAAAATTAATATAAATTATATTATGAAATATTATGTTCTATCCTTATACCAATTTCGGAACAAGAAATTGGAAGACAAGGGATTAAGAATAAGGGATGAGGGACATAGGTCTAGGAATAAGAGACGGAGGATATGGGACTAGAAATAAGGAATGGAAGATATATGAATAGGAACAAGAGACATTAGACAAGGAACAAGAGATGGATGATATAAGACTAGGAACGAGGGACAAAGGACATGGAACTGAGAACAAAAAACGAGGGACAAAGGACATGGAACTGAGAACAAAAAACGAGGGACAAAGGACATGGAACTGAGAACAAAAAACGAGGGACATAGGACTTGGAATAAGAGACTGAGGACATGGGACTAGAAACAAGGGACATAGGATAAGGAATTAAAAACAAGGGATAGAACACAAAGAACTAGGATCAAGAAAATAGGAACAAAGTAAGAGAATGGGGATGGAAACAAGAGACAAATATGAAGAATTGATGAAACTAATTATGAGATGGCAAAAGAAGGATGTAGCTTTAACAACTCTCTCTCTCTCTCTCTATATATATATATATATATATATTCTTTTATTATATATATTTTTATATTTTTTATGATTTAAATATATGTATATATATATATTACATATATGGCTTAATCATAAAAATTGAATTAAAACTAAAATTTGGTAATGCAAAGATAAAAATAAGAATATTTTATATATTTAAAAATCTTTATTTAAAACCTTTTGTACAAAGACTACATAACCAAAAATAAAAATATATATAATAATATATCAATTATTATAATTATAATTTTATTACTTCTATTTTTTTTAAAAAATATTGATTGTATTTCAACAAGCTAATTGTATAACTATTATAATATTCTTAAGTTACTAATATTTGTATATAATAGAAATATTTTTTAATGAAAATATATTAATTTTTTTATTAATAAGTATCTTAATCTTTAAAAGTTGTATAAGATTTTTTCGGTTTAAAATTAAAAAATTTATAATAATATAAATTTTCTTTAAAACTTTAATTAATAAATAAAAATACATAAATAAATTAAGTTAATATAATAAATTTATTTTTATTTTTATATGAATCTATTTTTTATAACATATCATTAGAAAAATCTAAATTCATATATAACATATATAGAAAACGTATTAAATTAAAAAATTAATATATAAAATTATACAAGTTATTGTATTTATGTATATATATATATATATATATACTGAAAATTAATTAGATGATTTTTTTTGATCAATTTATTTTGCACAAGTGAAGAAGCCTTCATTCTTGCCTCCATATATATATATATATATATATATATATATATATTATCTAATTAGAAGCTACTCGGTGATGTTTTATAGGACCTCCAATACATGTGCAATTTATAAGGCATGTGTCTTAACTTGCAAGATAAGTTTCCTATATACATGCCATATTATTAACCTATACCTTAAACTACCCACACATTGTCATGTTGTGGTTTGGCTACCATGTAAAAATAATGCACACATATATATATATATATATATATATATAATTTACTATACAATATAGTGAAAGCCATGTTATTAGATTTTAATTGGTTATAAAATATGATTAGATTATTACTTTGAAGTAATTAGTTTAAAAGGGCTATTAATGAGGTTGATTTTATGTTGATAATAGTTTTTGTATATTTAGAGCTATCTTTATTTGACATTGGTGATTCTTGAAATCTTGTTTTATTTCTTTTATTTGGTGTTTGAGGCACTCATTATATAAAACTTATTAAGAAAAGTATTAAAGAAGGTTTTTTGTATAAAAATCGATAGTTGGACTAACCATATAGATGAATGGAGATGGATGATAAAAATTTCTATTCTTATTGGCCAAAATTCATGTCCAATGGACTTCAAGGATGCTGCGTTAGGCCTTACTAGGAATTAGGGTTACTCTTTTGAAACCATTAAAACATCAAAGGTTAGGATCATCTAATTTAGGATTTTGGATATGGCTTTGGTGAAAATTTTATGTAATTTAGAGTTTTTATGAAGAAGATATAGGCGCTCAAAGTAAAGTTGTCAATTTTGTATCTACTGTGACTCTTTGGAGTATAGTACATGCATATGAAGGGCTTTTGAAGATCGGATTGTGCGGTTGAAAAGTTGGTTTAAAATATTGTATTTTGCATTTAGCAAAAAAAAGATTTATTATTGATTTAGAAGAGCAATATCTGCTTGAAGACAATACTTTCAAATTGAAGTTTGTTAGTGAACCAATTTCATGAGGGGTTCGGTTCTAGCCATATTTTGGGTATTTTGACAAATATTTGGCTAATTTTTTTCAAAAATGTGTATTATTATGTTGTGAAGCTACACACCAATATTTTGGCATTTGAATATTGGATTTTTAAGATATGAAGAAAATAGTATTTGGATACTTATAAATTACGATTTAGAGCATCTGCTAGGATTTCTAAGATATCAAACGATCTTTAATAGATTTACAATTTTTTTTTGTGTGATAAAGCTTAAGAATAAATGTTACATTATTTAGAAATGATTGGATTAAAAGATATGATATTCTAAAGTTTAGAGAGAAAAAAATCTTTTATTGGAGAAAAATATTTTGAAAGAATTTTATTATAATTTGGGCATTTTATGCAAAATAAAGGTATTTTTAAGATTCAAGACTTTATATATATGTTAAAAATAGAAATATAGAGCTATGAAAAAATTATAATATAAAGTTGGATTTTTATAAGGAGATTATAGATTTTCTTTGAATTTATGGAAAATCTAACTTACCAGCGAATAATTAGTTATGGTTTGGTATAACAAAGGATGTTAAGGCATTTCTAGATGCTTTAGAAAGCATTGTATACAAACCTTCTTAAATATAAATAGTTTTTACTATTAGAATATCTTTCTATATTGTTGTATTTATTTTATCTTTTATAATAAGAATAAATCACTTATTAGAGCTTAGGCAATAAGTTAAAGCTAAGTTTTCTATAACTAAGTACCTATTATATTTCCAAGTAGAAAATCACGCCACACAACAACTTCCAACACATGGCTAACTTAATGGCCAAATTTCTAACCTACTAATCAACTATAAACATGTATAAAGTCAAATAGATATCTATGAAGTTTTTAAGAAGCTTTGCCACAAGATAATATTAAATCTACATGAATTTATCCTCTATCTAGCACTTCTTATTTAAATAAATATGCATGTCCATGATAGGAGAGAGTTAAGGAACGGATGTTTGAAATAGAAATAAGAGAAATATAGATAAGGAATAGAGAGAATATGATGATAGGATATGAAAAACAAAGATAGAAGTAATAAGGATAGGAACAAGTAGAATAAAGACGAGGGGATAATTTAAGGTGAGGTAGAAATTGTTTTTAAACACTTTAAATTTGTAATTTTGAACGGTGCTAACAACCTCAATTAATAAGTGATTTCTATAGATATACATATATATATATAAGATGATAATTATATGTAATTATAAATTTTATTTATAAATAAAAAAATATAATATAAGTACTCTAAAAAAATATTATTAATGATACAAATTAAAAGTATGATGCAACTTAATGCAAATATCTTAATTTTATGCAAGATTTATAAAATCTCTTTAAGTTGTATATTTAAAATATTATAATCTTTAAATATATTTTTAAAAAATTTGATACATTTTTGTATAAAAAAAATAAAATTACACACAATATATTGAGTGCTACCAATCAATCATAAAGTATGTAGTTTAAATCAAATACAAATGCACATTCAATACACTTTCAAGAAAAAATTAGAAATCTATACCAAACTAAATCAAGCTATCTCTCACACCACAAAAGAGGAATCTAAGAGTGCAAATGTGAAAATAAGAGAAATCCTAAAGCTTTACTAATATGGCTATAATACCATAGCCAAGTAAATCCTTACAACAA